TGACCAGCGCAGCTGAGTTTGCTGGTAACGGCCTATATACTTCGCTGCCAAGTCATTGTTTGACCGCCTCTGGCTCTCTTCCACCCTTCACATGGTTGGGCGAAAAGAGCCCTTCGAGGAAGTCGGTCGACTGGCATACGCAGCACGTGGCCAAGCCAACGCAACCTGCGCAGTGTGATCAGTTCATCTATCGAGGGTGAGTTATTTCTTCCGAATACCATTCGACGTACTTCACCACTGCCGATACCACCAGACTCGGGCAATGCTCCGAAGACATCGATGGTCAAACACTGAAAGTCTTTTGACGTCCTCGGCACGCAGCGGCCAGGTCTCTGGTCCATATAGTAATATGGAGCGCACCGCAGCAATGTAAACTCGACCCCTGACAGAAGCTTATGTGACGCCTACGCCATAGGTGACGCAGTTTCCCAAAAGCTCCTCTGGCCTTCCCAATCATGATGAAAGTATGATCTTTCGCGAGACCACCGAGACTGATACAGCTGCCCAGGTAAACAAATTTGTCTAATGCCTCAATCGGTTCAACCGCCAGCATGAGCCTAGGGTTCGAGCACACCCAGTCTTGCAGTAGTACCTTACACTTTTCAGATGTGAAGCGCATGCCGAACCGCGAGGCAGAATTATTTAGATTATTTAATACTGTTTGCATTACCACGAGATCAGATCCAAGAAGAGCGATGTCGTCTGCGTACTCGATATCTGTGAGCGTACGCCCCGGGAACACTTCGACCCCACAGGCATTAGGGGCTGGTAGTGAGTCATCCATGATCGAGCGCGTCCAGTAACGTAAGAGGGATGCGTAAACCCACCGTGGATCAAGTAGCCTGTTCCATTCCGAAGGCTTCATCTGTCTAATGGACCTAAGCAGGGCTTTCGATTCAATCTTGTGGCATAAAATTTCCGGGACGGACATCGAAAGATGGGTTCTGTCCTTCCACTTGACCGACCGAATGTAGTACGCCCAGAATGTCTAGCTCTCTTGTCGACAAAAATGGCTCGCCCCAGTGAGCTGCCTTATCACCGCCTCTAAGCACTTCCTATACAAACTATGTTGAATTTGATAAACAGTGCACTTTTTGACGAAATTTTTGTTTACACACTATTGAAGACCTACTTATTCAAACAGGACAGGTAAGTAGACACAGCGAAACCCGTCCAGCCGCACCGAGATTGTGTCCATACCAAAGCGGATTAGACGTTCCGAGTCTGTTTCATCTGGTGTGACCACTTTCAGCGGTTGTCTAATAGCTAAAGTTAATGGTATAAAATATCTTGGTGTCTTGATCTCCTGTGACCTAACACGGTATGATGTCCTTCTAGCTCGAATATTGCCAGTCCGAAATTTTATATTTTCTGTCGCCTTGTCAGTTATTTCTTGTCGATCACCCGTCGTTCTCAGTGAACTGCTGAAAACAGACTATCATACTGACGTAATATACTACTCATAGGGTTGCTAAAAGCCATTCGACATCCCACGTCCGGTTTGGCCTTTCTCTGCTAATCCACTATCCCATGCCTGTGGGCGTACACCGGGGTTCCACCGATAAGGCCTTCTCTATAGGTTTTCGAGAAATACACTCATTTGCAAATCAATTTAGTTTTCACCAGAGACTCAACTGAATCTCTCGTTTATGATGTTCTACCTACCTACCTGATGAGCCCCAAGAAGGGCGAAACCGGTCGTGGGCTGTCAAAGAGTTTTCAGCAACCTTGTGAGTAGTTTCCTTTATGAAATTCTTTCTGTTTTACCTTGTTCTGTTTTGTCTGGACGTACATCTGCCGGGAACATGATTGAACAACTCATGTGGTTATGCTCAGAGCACTCACTATACCCGAATCCCGTGAGACGTGAAAGACTGCGTTTTTTCTCGTCCCCGCCAGTCAACAGATCTAAAAAAATGGTTATCCCGATTTGTTTTTTATTGAATTGGAAATACACACTATGTGGTGGGTCGACGGTGTATCTATAGCCCAAATCAGCTGGGCAGAACAATGTGTCCCCGAAGAGACGTGTATGAATAAACCGACATGTCTCCCTGACAGTCCATCACAGCTACCATCGTACCAACTTAGCCAGCATAGAAATTACCCAGGAGTGCTCTCAACTGTTTGTGTCAAAGCGAAATGAAATTCCTCGTGTTGATCGCGCGGAACGTTTCATGTAATCGGTACCACCAAATTATCGACCCATGTGACTGGTTAAGCACTGGAGCGGGCAGTGTTATATCGATTATTTTGTTTCATTTGGTGAGCAGTATTCACGAAAACTTGACATCACATCAACATCCTCCAGGGCTTATTTTCAATAGAAGAATGTTTTGGAAACAATTACTCTATCGTCCCTTTGTGAAAGGCAAGATCGACTGAAAAAATTGAGGCACTCATTGCGGAAATATTTGAAGTTGAACTGTAATATCCTAAAAACACCAGCATCGTACAATGTAAGTAGGTATCGGAATAGGGCAATAAACTCGCAAACGTGCGTGGACCGGTTATCCTGCATCCTGGGCACTGATGACGAATTCTGTCCCCATCGAAACGATTATACCAAATGATCTGACAAAGTGATTCCGCATCGACATGTCTTTGAACATCGCGATTCAAAAGCATCCCGCCCACCGGATCCCCGTCGAAGGATTACGTTCACGCATGCAGTGGGCCTACCATAGGACTACAATACTACTACAATAGTGGTAGTAGTAGCTCTCTTTATGAAGGCGAGAAATTCTTCAGAACGATGCTGGATTGAGCATGAAACGAATTCGCAGACAGAGCGATAAAACATCTACTCTCTACAGCTTCACCGACCGCGCTGAATTTCAAAGCTCAAAGTTTGTCCAACAAACCAACCAGAATCTTCCAGCTCGATTGATTGCATTAGCTAGCCGAGTAGGCGGTAAATAAACTAAACGGAAAATCCCGTTTCGCCTGTCGCTGCAATGTGGCTGGCACTCACTTCCGGGCTCGTTTTTCGCCGGATGATGTGCGCTTTGATCACCCATCTCTAATGCCATTGCAGTGAACATTGCCGGCGTACGATCAGACAATGCAAAGACAACCATCGGGCGAAACCATGTGCTGTTTGTTGCAATTGCATCCATACCTGTCATCGAGCTCGTATGTGGCGTGAGTCACTCACCGTAGCGACCAGCGCAGACTGTGTCTGGCCACTCTTGGGGTGCAAAAGACTCAGTTTAATGTGGTTTTGTTTGAACAATTTGAGCCAGACTGGGGAGAGACATCATTTGGTAAGGGAACAAATGTGCGCGCGTTTGCCAGTGGTCTGTCAACCGCATCTCCAATGCTCAAAAGCTGTCGCCAACATGAAACGGTGTTTTTTGGTCTTGTCTGACCAGCCTCGCATACGAAACTCAGGAGATAATTATGCACGTATGTATTGAAGCATGACAACAAAAATTTCTCCAGCCTAGCAGAATGACTTAATTCGCCAGACAGTAACCTCCGCCAGTCTTAGACGCCAAGCGAGTATTTATAAGATGTACAATAATGAAAAACCGACACAAGTATTTGGCGCGGGGGGCATTAGTCCGTGGTCAATACTTTCTTCCCAAAAGGTTTTGTACATGTGTGGATTTTTGGAAATTTGATGCCAGGAAGGAAGGCGACTCAAAGGGTTGTTGAAAAAGGGAAAGCCAGGTAAAACGTAAATGGGCGGTTGATAAAGAAGGATTCCAGAAAGCGAATCATGTCCGGTTAACAGGTAATAATAATAATCGTTCAGCTGTAGCACTCTTTCGGTGCCTAGCCGCCATGCCACCCGAAGGAAGCACGAGGGCTGGGATACTGCCAGGTTGCCCAAGCCTAGACAGGGGAAATCGAGAGGCAGAAGTCGGGTTCGAACCATGGACCTTCCGGCCAATAAATTCGCGCTCTAACCACTTCGGCCGTCTCGCCCCCTGGTTAACAGGCGAGTAACAAGTGAACAGAAGAGGTTGAATATGGTGTCCCTATGGGTTGACGAACGAGTGAACTCTGATAAGACCATGCACAGAGTACCTTAGGTCACATCAAAAACTCTACCAAGACATATCACTTGCATTAAATCTCCTGCAAACGATAAAGTCAACAGGGATGTATTTGGTAAGCTCGTGAATTTTAGCCAAGCGGTAAATGAATCTAAGAAAGCAGAATCGAGAACTTTTTCAATCCTGAGACACAAAAATATCAGTGCATGTACAAACAACGTATTTGGGATTGGTTGGAGATCACGTGGCTGTTGATCTGCCAGCCGAACTTGGCTTGCAAACGTTTCGTCACCATACGAGGAAAGTGCGCAATTGGCGAGCAGATCAACAGCCACCTGATCAACAACCAATAACCTCACCCGAGCTACCAACATTTCAACACATTATTAATGTATTCGGGAATTTAGAGCAAGCCTTCGATGGACGGGTAGCCCGAAGTGGCGGAAAAAAGAAAGTCGGCTATGTTCAAAGAACACTGGTTTGACATGGTTTGTCCAAGTTAAATTGAAAAACACAGAATTGTCTCTGACGAATCGAGTTGAAACGGGCTGCGAATGAAGCATGCAGTGCATGGTTCTATAGCGTGTTCCATCGTTATTCTAAAGAGTGTATTGGCACAATTTGGGATATGTTCACTGTAACAGAACTGTACATGCAGTCACCGAATGCGCCAGTTTCAATGCAAGGTGTGACACCCGAAGTCGTAGAGCTCTTTACCTATCTTGGACGTTGTACCAGTTTTGATCGTAGTGTGACAGATGAGGTCAATGTACCAATCTGCAAGACTCAGTTCATCCTCGAATCTCAAGGGACATGAGTATCAGCCTACGGTACGGTTTGTTTCGTTGTACGGTCGTGAGAGGCGTCCTGTGCGGGACTGAGACGTCTTCAGGGTTCCCACAACCGGTGTTCAAGAAGCATACCTCCTATAGGCTGTTGCCGACCAACCCAAAACGAAGATATCTCGACGGCTGGCCCGAGAATTTGAACTACCATTCCCGTGGCCAACTGGTGATAGTCAGTAAAATGGCCCTTGATGGTCAACGGGGAACCCCTTACGGACTCAGAGGCTATGGGTTGCACATATTCTCTCGGGAGCTACCGAGCTCCAGGTGAGGTTTACCTCGCATACGCTGTGTTCAAAGGATCGTGTTGAAGTCCTCAGTGAGTACTGCTTGTCTGACCAGTCTGTCTTCAATTAGGTAAAAGAGATTATTCCAGATAAATACGGCGAATCGGTAGCAGTGACGGTTTTCAAAAAGGGGCGTCACTTGTCTTTCATCGTCTTATGGTGATGAAGCATTAACTCGAGAGCATCAGTCGGAGGTCTGGTAGAGGTTGCGCTGACCAAATCCTCAAACTCCGTCAGGTGCTGGAACATTGTCATAAGTACAAACGACCCATCATTTTGTCATTGCCAGATTTCCGACGCCGTTTGACTGGAATCGGTAGCAGTGACGGTTTTCAAAAAGGGGCGTCACTTGTCTTTCATCGTCTTATGGTGATGAAGCATTAACTCGAGAGCATCAGTCGGAGGTCTGGTAGAGGTTGCGCTGACCAAATCCTCAAACTCCGTCAGGTGCTGGAACATTGTCATAAGTACAAACGACCCATCATTTTGTCATTGCCAGATTTCCGACGCGCGTTTGACTGGACTGTTCCCCTTAACACGTTTGTTCAGCAAGTATATTCCAAAACTTTAGTGCTCGTTTTATGTTCGTTTTATTCTTACACCTAGCGAAGGAGTATGATAGAGATAACAGAAAGTCCGGGTGCTATCGGTGGGACACACCTTGCAGGTTAGAGACTATGATCCCACTGTGTTTGATTGGAGAAGACGCAAGATATTGCTTCAAATCGATGTCAATGGCATTGCCAGTTTCTATCTATATTGCCTGAATGAATTTCTGGAGGTGTAAGAACCTCGGAATGATTGTGGTAAGCTAGCACTAAGCCCCCCCCCCCACATAATTTATGCTTTTTTCGCAATGAGGCTTTCAACTGAATCATGATTGTGCGTCATTGAAGTATCAGTATTGAACTCTGATGTCATGTTGTCGGCGATCGTGATGATGGTGGAAGCCACATTTGTCAGGGACGACACGACACAAAATCGCGTTATACCCAGGACCGATCATGACATAAAATCCGTTCTTGCAATGCTTGAAGCCTATCGCTCGAGAATCGCACACCGTTTGGTGTGGCCAGATCGCAAGGGGCTTTCGCTGAATTGGTGATGTCTATGTGCACGAGTGATTCTTCGTGAAACCCAGTTTCACAAACATTTCGGTGTTGAAATTCCCATGTGGAATTTCTGCTGAGTAATGCTCAAAATTCGAAGACTAACATTTCTCCTAGTGGTTGGTTTAGCTCCATGCAGCTTACAAATCCGATAAAACGGTACGATACCTGGCCGGATAGATTAAACAAAAGTCGGTCATTATGTTTTTTTCGAGATATCACAATACACTTTCCTGACCAAATTCACTGGTCACAAGGCCGCTGTAACCTTTTTGACAGCAAACTACCAGTGTACGGTGATACTACTGATGAGGGAGGCATGCGAGTAGTATGTTTTCTCGTAAATCCGTTTTGTGGCTCTTGAAAAGTGTGACCTAATACGGAATTTGTGGAGTCCCATTTGCTTGGAGTTGAGCAACAGTCAGTGAATACCCAGGAAAGTTCAGGAAGACGCGTTCAAAGAGAAGACGGATATTCCGTTTTTGTAAACAAGATACACATGAGAGTTTTGCTTTCCTGCCCAATAGTCTGTAAGTGTTCAGTTGGCATTTTCTAATAACTAACTACTCAGCGAAGGCCTTTTTCGTTTCATCAGTTATGCTCTTATTAGGGCTCATCACCTAGGCGTAGCCCCGATTCTTAGGCCGACCTATGAGTAGCACATTTTGGTCAAGAAAGTGCCACCGTCATTACCCATGTTGGGCAATACATCCTATACGTATTTATAATGCCTGTAGAGATGAGAGGACTGACTGAAGTTTTCTAAAGTGGAGTGATACGAATTGATTGTCCACAGTCTCAAACATTGAAGGGAGCGAGATGGTTGATGAGATAGAGAGAGCACGAATTTACTGACCGAATGATCCGTGGTTCGAGCGCGACCTCTGCATCTCGACGTGTCCTGTTTAGGCTTGGGCAGCCTGACTCCCTCAGCATTCGCGGGATCACATCCATACATTCAAAGGATGTCACTGCTGAACGATTTGTTTATCTAGTCTGTTTTGAGCACTCCTTCTTCAATATAGGCATATTCTTTCTGGGCGTCGTTCTGATAAACTGCAATCGTGTTCTCACGGCTGCAGAATGGTTGGCGCGTTCTCTTAGGTAGTTACGAGGGTCTCATCGGTTGGATCACAATCATCAGTATAATCATCATCATCATCATCATCATCATCATCATCATCATCGTCATCCGAATCATCATCACCATCATCATCCTCATCCGAGTCATCATCATCATCATCATCATCATCATCAACAACATCAACATCCTCAACTACTTGAAACACTTTTTGGAAGAAGTCTACCGTTCCTCCAAGCATCATCTACCTAGATTCTCGACTTCAGTTTGCATTCAAGTGTAACTTAGTTCACCCAACTAATCGATCGGTGTTTTCGCAGTTTTGGTAGTGGTATACTCGTAGTGTACCATTTTTCCGCGATTACCTTCATGCGAACCCTTCTTCGGATTTAATGTTAGGGGGTATGGGACAGAGATGAAGCATCTCTGTGAACTGACTCACTGCGTAATATACGTATAAACACACAGGCAGGGGCTAAGGTGAACGAGGTAGGTTTCAAACAACTCCCGCTGCGATCAGCTGGCCGACAGAGTCAACAACTATCCGGATCACTGAAATAGAATTAAGGTAAGGGAGCGTGTCGTACGTAGAAGACAGTTATGACAGAAGAGTGCCTAACTCTGGAAAACGGGAGATTTGTGTGCCAAACTTTTGCGAAAAAGGCGTGACCCTATAGACTGAACCCCAAACGATGCGATCTACAGTCGCCTATCTCGTCCAGACGGAGCGATGAGCTTGTGTTTAAGCCAGCATATCAAAGCTCCAGATTCATGTATGTTGGCGTATTCTGTT